CCTGGGGCAGAGCAGCTGGGGTGCTGCTGGGTTGGTCCAGTAGCGCCGAGGAGCGGTGCTATTGGACCAACTCAGCAGCACCCCAGCTGCTCTGCCCCAGGCGTCCCCAAGTCAGCCCCTGCTCAAACTGACCAGCGGCTGACTACTGGGAGCCCGAGGCAGAGTTCCTGTAGTCAGCCACTGGTCAGTTTCAGCAGTGGCTGAATCTGGATGTCAGTTCCGACTTACATACAAATTCAACTTAAAAACAAACCTACAGTCCCTATCTTGTACGTAACCCGGGGACTGCCTGTACACATTACGATTTTATTGTGTTTTCGGTGTAAATATTGTCTTTCTAATAATGTATTTTCTAAATATTTTAGGATATGCTGATGGAAATTCATATCCAGCTCCAGCCTATTGTAATCCTATTCCCTGGAAACCAATTCATGTGCCACCTCCTAAGGAAGACAAGCCTGTTACAGTGAAAAAAACTAAGAGACCTATATCTAGTCACTCATATCGATCCTCATCTATGCTTATTCATAAGCCCAAGAACAATCTTTGTATTGGATCATTGCACAGAAAACAAAGATAGTGTAAAAAGAAAAATAACTTTCTATTGGCTTGATTTAACTTAGTTTTGAAGCATAAAAGTTATTTCTTGGTTAACTGTATCCTTAAATGTTACAAATAGGGTATTGAAAGACAATACTACTGTCCTCTTTCTAACAGTTGTGATTGTTTACTGATAGCTAAGGAATATCTTTTTCAAAGACTTTTTAACTGTTACTTCAATACTTAGAAAATTGTGTTTTTAAAAATTTAACTAGATTTTTAGTCACTTAAGTGATGTTTGTTTTTTAAAATTTTATATGTAGCCAGTTATTTTGCAGCTACTCTTTGATATCAATAAAACATTAGTGATTAATTTTTGTGCTTCTTCTTAGGGGTATAATATCTTGTTGAAATGTGTTTTCGGGGGCTATTTGGGTTATTATGCTCATTGCTTTATACATGCTAGATACAGCTAATTTTTGGTGGGAGAGGTGGAATATGGATTGGGAGGAATGGCAAGAAATTTCATTTTCCAAACTCAGAAACTTAATGCTATGGTAAGAAATATACCAGCACTTACTTAACTGTTTATTTTGTAAGTATTACAAAGTCAACATAAGATCCATTACACATTACAAATTCAGTGTTGTGTTAACCAGAAAATGTATTTTTGTTATATTTATCTAGGTTTTTATTTGGTTGTCAAAAATAACAAGATTGTGCTACCCCAACATATTAATTCTGCTTTTTTTAAAATAAAATTATTCTTACAATTACTATTAACAAAGAATAATAGTCAACTTCAGCTCCCTTATAGCTGAGCGAGGGAAAAGAGCTTTATGTTAAACTTTTATTTGAAGTGCACACAAAGGCAGTTTACAATGGACAGAGAGGTCTTTGGGTATGTGTGGGGGTTTTTTGTTTTGTTTTTGGGTTTTTTTTTATGCCTCTTGTGCTATATACTTGTAAGATTTCAAGCTAGTATTTTCTAGGCAATGCCAAATGCCAGCAATGGAATGCAGCATCTTAGGCTATGTCTACATTGCTACTTATGCCGGTAAAATTTGTAGTGCTCAGGCATGTGAATAAGCCACCCTCCATCCTTCCCAACTGGCATAAGTCACACTGACCCAAGCACAGGTGTGGACAGTGCTGCATTAACAGGAGCCTTTTTTTTACCAAAGTAATTACTGCTGCTGGTTGGGGGTGGATTAATTAAGTTGACTGGAGAGCTCTCTCCCAATGGCTTAGAATGGCTACACTACAGGGTTTATAGCAGTGGCAGGCATCCTGTGTTCTACTCACGGCCAGTCGGGGTTCTACATGTGGCTTACAAGACATATTGTTTACCGTTGCCCATGCAGAGGGTTACTAGATTCCACTGGCTTCTGTCCACATAGGTTTTTTTTCCTACCAGTATTACTAAATCACATGCACATAAAGCAATGGCATGTGAGTGAGATCTGTGCTGCTTGCACTCAACATTGACAGTGAGAACCATGTGTTTCCTTTTCATCCCAAGCGCTGCTATAATTCAATTGGCACACCCTGCAATAGGGATGTGAGGGACTAGTTGACTATCAAGGGGTATGTCTACAATACAAAGTTAATTCGAACTAACAGATGATAGTTCGAATTAACTTCGATAGGCGCTACACAGGCAAACGGCTAGTTTGAACTTAATTCGAACTTAGCGGAGCGCTTAATTCGAACTAGGTAAACCTCATTCTACGAGGACTAATGCCTAGTTCGAATTAAGTAGTTCGAGTTAAGGGCTGTGTAGCCACTTAATTCGAACTAGTGGGAGGCTAGCCCTCCCCAGCTTGCCCTGGTGGCCACTCCTGGCAAGGCGCTACACAGGCAAACGGCTAGTTTGAACTTAATTCGAACTTAGCGGAGCGCTTAATTCGAACTAGGTAAACCTCATTCTACGAGGACTAATGCCTAGTTCGAATTAAGTAGTTCGAGTTAAGGGCTGTGTAGCCACTTAATTCGAACTAGTGGGAGGCTAGCCCTCCCCAGCTTGCCCTGGTGGCCACTCCTGGCAACACCAGGGAAACTCGTCGACCCCACTCCCAGCCCCGGAGCCCTTAAAGGGGCACGGTCTGGTTACGGTGCCCGTGCCAGGTGCAAGTCTGCCAGCACCCAGCCAGCAGACCCTGCACCTGG